ATCGGGCAGTTCTGTGCCAGCAGCTGGAAGCAGGTGAGATCCTGCCCGGGAGATGCCACCCCTGCCTGTGTTTCACCTGGTCTCTGGGCAGCCTGAAGGCTCATCCACACCCCATCCTCTGCTGAAAACAGCTTGAGTGAGCTGGGGTGACCTGGAGAGATGGGAAGGCAGCCTGCAGCCTCTTGGGTCCTCCTTGCTCTCCAGATCATTGCACTGTGGGGCTGTTCCCCAAAGTGTGGGCATAGAGCAGTGCTCTGTGCTGGCAGCCCACCCCTGTTCTTCCACCTGTGCAGGTGCAGGAGCTGTTCCCTGGGGTGAGCAAGACTCAGCTCCGTGACATCTGTGCAGCCAGTTCCTACACCCTCACTCTTCTCCTGCAAGGCTACAAATTCAATGACACAACGTGGCTTAACATCCGCTTTGTCCAGCAGGTAGGAAGGTGCCCAGGAGCTTCCACACCTAGGAATGGATAGTGCCCACCCTGCTGCCACCCCTGCCTGCCTGGGGGCAGGGGATGCTGGGACATCATGCCCCCACCCAGGGCAGCTCTTGAGCCACACTCACTGGCACCTGCTGGGTCACCTGGTCTGGCCCTCTGTGCTGTCTCTCAGTTTATGTCACTACCAGGGCATCCTCAGCCCATGGTGGGCACAGATATGATGGAGCAGGACCTGGAGGTGCAGCAGTAGAGTTTTGTAGCTCTCCAGCTTGCCCGGTCCTTTGCAGCCTCTCACATCCCTCTTCCTGCTCTGTTACACAGGTTGCTAATGCAGATGTGGGATGGACTCTGGGCTACATGCTCAATCTCACCAACATGATTCCCTCAGAGCGTCCCCAGGGAGTAATGGGGCTCCAGAGAAGCAGCTGGATAGCAGCCACAGTTTTACTGGCCATCATGCTCATCCTCACCTTCTGCCTGCTCACAGTCATGTGCTGCCAGAGAAACTCCTTGGGCTATGAGCATCTCTAGCAGTGCTGGCTCCAGAGGCTGTCAAGGTCACTGAGTCCTGCTGCTGCACCTGTGTGAGGAGCTGCCAACTGGGGAATCATTTCCATGGACCCTGGAGCCATAAACTTGTGTGTGGGGCCCCTAAGTCCTGGCCTAGAGAGCTGAAACTGGCACAGGCTGTAAAACATCCTCTCCATAGCTGTGTGCTCTCTGGTTTTCCTTTCCCTGTGCTGCTGGTTGGAGATGCTCTGGGGGGGAGGGCAGGGGCTTAGTGCTGAGGGTGGGGACCACAGTAGTGTGGGATGGCTGGAGATGGGGGTCACAGAGGAGAGAAGGAAGAGCTGGCAGCTGTGGGGTCATCATGGGGCTGGTTACAGCCCACAGCAGACACCCCATGTGGGGCAGACATGTCCTGACCTATCCCAAGGTGAGGGTCTGCAGCCCCCACAGCCAGTGGGAGGACACTGGTCTGGTAGACAGGATGCAGGCTCTGCCCAGGACTGGGAAACCTGTGCAGTGGGGATGGCCCAGCCCCTGCTCTCCTGTGCGAGGTTCTTCTCCAGTCCAGCTGCACCCTGTGCCTGTGCCCAACATGCCCAGCTGCTTTCCAGCACACAGGGTGATTTGGGAATGCTGCTGGCACATGACGGGCAGCTCCCAGGGCTCTCCTTACATTTCTGGGGAGTCCCACTATCAGCCAGTGATGGGTGAGGCAAGGCACCCTTCCCTCAGAAGGAAAAGGCCTGTCCTCGTGCTCTGCTGGCTCCTCTCCAAGGTCCAGCAGACACCTCAAGGTCTCCAGGGACACCTCCTGCAGCCTCCTGCCTCTCCCCTGAGTCCCTGTCATCATCCTCAGCCTTACCTGGGAGATGGAAGCAATAAAATCCTAACTGCTTGGGAGCAAAGTAACAGACATTTCCCCATGTGCTGCCTTTTATGATGTTTATTAGGGTGACAAGAGCTGTGAGGCACCCACTGCTCTGCAGGGACACCAAAGGTCACCTCCTCACTCTGGGGATGCAGACAACAATGTGAATCATCCACAGGGAAGGTAAAATGAGCAGAACCAAAGGCAAAGGCAAGGGCAGGACCCAGCTCAGCCATGGGCTGGGCAGGACTCACAGCCTGCTGGAGTCTCATCCCCACACCCACAGAGTCCAGGCCTGCTGCTTGGTGCAACACTGTTGTCTCCAGGAAGGCAATGAGGAACATTGATCTCTTTATCCCGGGTGAAAAGGAAGATGATGAGATGTGATGATGCAATGAGGTTAGATTACATGACATGGCACGACATGACATCATGACATGAGATGATGATGAGATAGTGACGTGATGATATGACAACATGATGAGATGGTGAGATGTGATAATGGGATGTCATGACAGGATGACATGACATGATGACAAGAGGATGAGATGAGGTGGATCCTCTGGAGGGACACGGACCACGCTTCTAATTTTGGATGCTCAGTTTTTCTTCTGTCTCCAAGACCATCTCCACATAAGCCCTAGTGACAGACCTCTGCAGAGCCAGCTGTGGTCCCACAGAGCTGTTCCAGGGCCATGCTGGCTCTCATGGCCCCCTGTGCCAGCTGGGATGGAACCATATCTGTAACAGGCATAGTGGTATAAGGAGGCAGACAGACATGGCTGAGGCTTCTGCAGGCTGATCCCATCTGCTCTCCATGGGAGCAGAGCTTCCCTGGAAACACATAGTGCTTGTCTGCATGTTGGGGTCAGTCCCACGGGAAGTCAGACCCTGGTTCTTCGGTGCTGTAGAGGTTAAGGTGTTGAGCATCACAGACACAGCCTCAGGCTGCCAGGCCTGCAGGCAAGACCCCAACCCAGCTGGCCCTGCAGCCCTGATGCATACCTGCTGGGCTGCTAAAGACAGCCAGGCTCCTACAGCCACAGGAGCAGGAGCAGGGCAACAAGCCCCAAGGCAAGGGTGAGGACGAGGAAGGTGATGGCTGCAGTCCACAGAGAAGGCATGTGCCCCTTCACCCTGGCTGGAGCCTCTGCTGGGATCATGTTGGTGAGGTTCAGCATGTACCCCAGTGTCCAGCCAATGTCAGCACTCCCTGCCTGCCCGAGGAGAGAGGGGACAGAGTGTTAGCCCTGCAGGAAAGCCACCAAAGTCACAGGGCCACCTACTCCTGCACAGCCCAAAGGGGTGCAGCAGCAGCCCCACAGCCAGTGCCGCGCCGGACGGGGCAGGCAGGGCTGTCTGGGCTGTGGCTCCCACAGCACCCCAGCATGGGGCTGCCTCTGCTCCCCACCACGGGCTGGGAGTGCTGCCCACCTTCATCTGGAAGAAGATGTTGTTCCAGTTGGTCTCACTGAACTTGTAGGCGTCGAGGAGGAGTGTGAGGATGTAGTTGGTGTTGGCACAGTATCTAGGCAATCGCTTGGGATTCTCCTTAGGGTAGCTGGAAGACAGCTGGGATGGAAAATGTCTGGGGATGAACAGAAGTTATTCACAGGCAATTTCTGTGCAGGGACAATGCCCTGATCAGTGCTGCATGAGCTCCACAATCACCAGCATCCAGAAGACTTCTGGACCAGGCAGTGATTTTGGACCTGTCTACACAAGACAGCACCTTTGGATTTACACTCCACATGAAACAGAGAGACATATTGGAGCTCCTCCTGTCACAGATTATCCCATCTCAGCCTTCTCAGACAGGGGCTCCTGCTCTCTGCCCCACAGTGGTGCTGGCACCTTTCTTGGCCTTATCCATCCCCATTTGTTTCACAGACAGGTTGTGGCTGCTCCATCCCTGGAAGTGTTCCAGACCAGGTTGGATGGGGCTTGGAGCAACCTGGGTTAGTGGAAGGTATCCCTGCCCATGGCAGGAGGGTGGAACTGGATGGTCTTTAAGGTCCCTTCTAACCCAAAACAGTCTATGATTCTATGATCCTATTATTTGACTCATCTCCAGAGTGGTGCCAGCAGCTGGCTCTGCTCCCACCATCCTCCCATGCTACAGACTGACCTCCATCCCCACCTCCATCCCAGCTCCTGTGCTGGAGAGGAGATCTTGCTGCACTCACCTGCCCTGACTGCCCCTTTCCCAATGGTGCATGAGCAAGGAGGGTCCTCAAGGGTGGCTACAGGACAGTCCTCGCTCACACAGGGCTCAGGGATGGCTCCACTGCGTTGGGCATAGCTCAGAACCAGGAGCTTTGCCCTCGAGGGGTCTCCACTCCTCTCCCCCCACCCCAGGACCTCTGCTTGTGAAGGTCCCACACAGCCTCATCGTGGGGAACGTACATCTTCCCAGGTCCTTGTGCAGAGCTGCTCGATGACCTCCTTGACCTCAGCCAGTGGCTGCCTCTTCGTCAGGTTGAGGAACTTGAAGTTATAATAAAAGGCAGAGAAGGCCTGAAAACCAAGAGGCAGAAATGCTGATGAGATACAGTGGGGAACTCCTGGCAGCTTACCCTATCTCCCCTGAAACAGGAGGTGAGGTTGGTCCTCCTCAGGGATTGTCCCACCCCTGTGTAGTCCCAGGACATTGTTGTCCCTGTCCCAGAGGAAGATGAGCAGGGGGTTTGGTGCCTGCTGGTGACAGCAGCACAGCCAGTGCAGGCAGAGCCTTGCCTGAAGGTTGCTGGCTGAACTCTTGGTGTTCTACCAAAAACTTGGAGTTTGACTAAGCACCTGTTCTATTACCACATCCCTGGGAGTGTTCCAGGCCAGGCTGGACAGGAATTGGAGCAACCTGGTCTAGTGGAAGTGGTCCCATCCCATTTCAGGGGGTGGAATGAGATGAGATTTAAGGCCCTTCTCAACCCAAACCATTCTGTGGTTCAGTGATTATTATCATGGTCCCATTTGGAGACCCATCTGAAAAACCAGGTGGCAGCAATCCCTGGCGTGCCCAGGGACAGTGCTAATGTGAGAGCTTCTTGCCCCTGCTGCCCTGAGGGAGGTGACAGTGCCCTGGGGCACACGGGGGCAGGAGGACAGATCTGCCTTACAATGAACTGCCCTCGGACCGGGGGCTGGTCGACGCCGTCGAAGGTGCAGTCCTGCCTCTGGCCACAGGCTGAGAAGTTGAAGAGCTTCCTGATGGCTGCCAGGCACTCGCTGGCACTGCCCTTGCCCTCCAGGGTGACAGTGGTGTCCCCGAGGGGCAGCCGCGGGTCGCTGCGGTTCGTGCAGGGGCTGGTGCGGAAGGAGGACAGCGAGATGGTTTCACTGTAGCCTTTTGGGTAGCACGGGTGGTGCACTCGGGTGCTTGGGAACGACTCCTGGGGACAGCAAAACGCAGGCTGCAGCCTCCTCCAGGCACATCCTCAGGTGACCCACTGTGGTCCCTTCCAGCCTGACCAGTCTGTGATTCTGACCCTCCTGCTGGGCATGCCAGGGACAGGAGTCATCCAGGGCTCCCCCCAAAGCTGTAGGCTCTGGCATCTCCCACCTCCTCAGCAGGGAAAGACCCTCCTGCTGTTCAGTCCTGGTTGTTTGGCCATCTGCAGCCCCAGCTTGAGCCCAGCACTAATTCTTACTGTGCTTTGTCTCATCCCCAGTTTCAGGGACTCATCATGTCTCTCCCCTGGACATCAGGATCATTTTTGGGGTGTGCAAAGCTCTCTCCAACCCAGATCCAGCTCTGGCTGTAGCTCCTGCCCTAGCGAGGGTCACCACCTGGAACTTTCCTTGCTGTACAGCAGGAGCAAACCCTTCTGGCTCACCAAGGCTGCTTCTCCTGGCAAGGTGCAAGCTCCATGAAGATGCTCTTCACCTCTGACCTTCCAAAAAATGGTCTAAGAAAGGTCTTTAGTTCACTTTTCTCAGGTCTGTGCAGTCACAGAGTAGCTGAGGCTTGGAGGGACCTATAGGGTTCCTGTGCCAATGCCCTCCTTAAAGCATGACAAACTAGCTCAGGTCACTCAGAGCCTTGTCCTGTCAAGTTCTGAGTATCTCCAAGCATAGTGACTACACAGTATTTCTGGCTCCTATTCCAATAGTTAACCATTCTTATTGAGAAAAACCTTACCCCTCCATCTGGCTGGAAGCTTAGATCATAGAATTAACTGGGTTGGAAGAGACCTCAAAGATCATCAAGCCCATCACTACCGTCAGATGTTCCTGCCTGTGCCCACTGCCTCTTGTCCTGGCACTTTGCACCTCTGAGGAGAGTCTGGTCCTGCATTTCCTACACCCTGTGTGAGGCAGCTGTGTACAGCTGGAAGATGTCTCCTAAGCCACCCCTTCTGATGCTTTCCCCATCCCTGGCAGTGTTCAAGGCCAGGGTGGGACGAGCGTGAGTTATGAAAAGGTGCCCCTGCCTGTGGCAGGGGGTGGAGTGAGATGAGCTTTAAGGTCTCTTCCAATCCAAACCAGTCTGGGATTCTATGATTTCCATTCTCCTCTCCACATTTGCCTTGCCATGCTCTAAGGAGCCTGTGCTTGTTCTCAATCTGTGCTAATGGTTCTCTGGAAGAGCACTGTCTGCTCCGACTTTATGCATTAACAAGTCTGTGGTTGGCATCAGAAGACCAGAAGCCAATTACCCCTCAGCTCCCTCTCACCGCAATTAATTCCTTCGCCAGTCGCTTCAGCATCTCATTCTGCCCATAGCAGAGGTAGCTGTGTGTGTAGATATTGTAGTTGTACCCATACAGTGTGAACTTGGAGGCTTCATTCTGCCTCATCACTGAACCTTCAGGCATGAAGCTGATTTGGGTGGATGCTCCTCCAAGATCCAGTGCCCCAAAGATGTTGGCTGCCTCTGGACGAAGCCACGTGTGTGTTTTGGGGGAGTACTGCCAGGAGAGACAGGAGAGGAAGAAGAGTAGTACAGGGCTGGGTTTAGGATCATAGAATCATTGGGGTTGGAGGAGACCTCTAAGGTCATCAAGTCCAACCATTAACCTGTCACTGCTGTTTACTGCCAGGAGAGACAGGAGAGGAAGAAGCGTAGTACAGGGCTGGGTTTAGGATCATAGAATCATTGGGGTTGGAGGAGACCTCTAAGGTCATCAAGTCCAACCATTAACCTGTCACTGCTGTTAACCCTAAACCATATCCTCCAGCATCAGATCCAGACACCTCTTAAACACCTCCAGGGATGGTGACTCCACCACCTCCCTGGGCAATATCCCAGTGCCTGAACACCCCAAAGGGAAGGCTTACTTGCCCCGAGAAGAATCCTCATCCTGTTGAACCCAATAGGGTTTTTTTCCTAAATCCAACGGCTATTCAGTTATCTCTGCATGTAAGGCCCTGCCTAGCCTGGATTTATCAGAGCCAGAACAAACAGAGGTGGAACTGCCTGATGGCCAGGATGTGCTGATGTGCTGTGGGCTCATCTGGCTCTGAGTCACTGGTCCCAGACCAAAGTGCTGGTGGGCACCTGGCTTGGAGGGCTGCCCTTCCCCAGGAGCAGCTGCAGAGGTGCTGCTGCAAGGGAAGGATTTTCTCTCCAGGAATCCTCCAACAGCCCACCCAGAAGCCCGATGGTTTTTTCCTCATTTTCTCTCTTTAATGCATCTCTTCCTTTTTCATTTCTCTTTTCCCCTTCCCTTTATCCCTTTATCCAAACCCACTGCTTCTGTAGTAGGTCAGGGACTAGGATACCAATTCCTATGCTAAGTGTGCACTTAACTAATAAAACTTCCTGATTGTTTGCAGACCTTCTGACTCTTTTGTCATTCCTCTTGAGCATGAGAATTTATGAATCTTAGGTGCTTCTCCCCCACTTAAGGGTGGCTCATCACAGGCTCAGACACAGGTTTGGTCTGAGCTGCCTTCAGACTGGCACACTGAACCAGAGCTGGAGTCTCCCAGTGCCACAGGGAGATGGAGTTTCCCAGGGCAGTAAGACAAAGCCCAGCAGGAACAAATGGTCCCCACGGAGTTGCACAACCAACCTCTGTGTCCCTGAGAGACTTTCTGTCCACACAGTGTGGAGACTGCCCTGAGCTCGCAGCACAGACATTCCCATTCCTGAGTTCTCCCTCCCCGTTCACTCTGGGCGAGCCAAAGAATAAGTGGCTCCTTCCCCTGGATCATTCCCAAAAGCTGTTAACCCTGACCTCTCCTGAGCTAAGCAAGCTTAAGGAAAATCAGACAAGCTGTATTAGCAAAGGAGTGGGAGTTCCACCCTTCTCCCACCTTGGTGAAGGAGTCCAGCAGGTAGTTGGTGGTGATCCAGCCATAAGCTCCCTCCTCCTCCCCTGTGAGGATTCGAGCCCCTTTGAAGGCCACAGGGTACTCTTGCATGGTTTTAGCCACTTCAGCCAGGACTTGATCTGCCGCTGAGCTGTTCTGTTCCCTAGGAAGGTCACAAAGGTCAGGACACATACCCAGCTACAAAGGAAACACAAGGAAACTGTCTGGTTTGCTCCCAGTTCCACATACTCCTGTTTTTTTCCAACAATAGTCTGTTTGGAAGGATGTTTCCTGCTGCATGACTTGCCAAAGCTGCTCATGCAGCCTAAATCCCACCTGTCTAGGCTTGGCATTACAAATCTGAGGGCAACAGAAACCTCTTCCCCCCAGGGCAGCTTGATCCCAGTCACACAGAGGTTTCCCAGGACACCCTTCCCTGCCTAAGCATCATCACAGTGCTGGTGGCAGAGAGGTTGTGCTGCATCGGGTTTGAACATCACCCACTGGCTGCACCCAAGTCAGGGCTCATTGCTGAGCTCCAGGGGGTCCTTCAGGAGGTTCCAGCCTGGCTGCAGAACTCTGAGTAGGGAAGATGTTTCAGGGCTGTTGGCATGTGTTCACTCTCTGAAGTGAGTAATCTTCAGGCTATGGCCTGGCTCCTTCCCAGGGACAGGGGCTGATTGCCAGGGCACAGCAATATGTGAGATACCAGAAGCCATAAAACCAGGAGCCGTGAAATGAAGGTTGACATTTGAAGAGAGCTCATATGGGCTGGTGAAAGGTAAGAGCAAGTCCCACAACACCTCGTTGCCTCCTACCTCTGTCCCACTCCCCCAGGTGGCACATCCCCTGGTGGCATCCCAGTTCCATGGTGCTTAAGGAGTAATGAAGAGCAAACAGAGCTCAGAGAAGCATTTCTTGCTTAGAACTGGGCATGCAGGACCATCCCTGGGTGTGAGCTCCCAGGACGCCAACAGAACCCTCTGAGCAGCCTACCATCCCTGGGTGTGAGCTCCCAGGACACCAACAGAACCCTCTGCCCCAGAGTCAGAGCTCAGGACAGCTCACACACCCCTGTGTCCCCATCAGGTTGCCTTTTCCCCTTGTCTCCACTTCCCAGTCACTTGCTCCTGGCAGTGTGGGGTGTGGGATTCTGTCCCCATTCAGGACACTGTGTCCTGGCAGTGGCTGCTTGCAGTTCTGTCACTGCTGCTACTCCCCTGCCCCCAACAGTACCTCAGTAGCCTCATGCCAGCTGTTGCTCCGAGATAAGCTGGGACATCCCTCTGTTTTGCAGCAGGAACAAGCTTCAGGGCTTTATCCAGGCACTCCCTTAGGGAATCACCAGCTTTTTGGGGATCATTGGCATAGCTTGATATGCCTTGACCTGGAAGAGATTCAGACTGGGAATGGCTGGGGATGGGGATGTGGGAGCAAGAGGGCTCAGGGCAGTGAAGTCTGTCACCTCTTAGCAACAAAGGTGCTTTTCCAGGGTCCCCTGAGACCTGGCTGACTCACACTTACCTTCCTCTTCAATGTCTTCCCCATATCTCCCATGCTTTCAGCAGTGTCCCCAGCTCTGTGGGTGACGCCTTTCCCAGCCAGGACAGCAGCTGGGGGCACTTCAAGGTGGAGGAATGAAAGTTCATTCCCCACCAAGGTGCTTCATTCCCATGGGCACTACATGATGCTGAGGGCCCAGGAGCCAGGGCCCACCCTGCCTGCAGCCAGGGCTCCCACTGTGCCCACAGTGTCAGCACGGGCAGGCCAAAAGGAAGGGTCAGGTCATCCCACCCATCACATGAACATGCAGGGCAGCACAGAGCCCATGGCAGGGGATACTGACCCTGGACATCACAGGACAAGGTCTGGCTGACCACACCAGTGTCATTCTCCTTGTCTGAATCCCACTGGTAGACAAACAGAGAGGTGTGGGATGAGCCTGCGTCAAACACCATCCCATACTGCAAGGGAAAAGCAAGACATTTCGGTGATGGAGGAGCAGCAGCCTGTCCCCAGACCCACCATGGCCCTGCCAGGGTGGTGAGGCCAGAAGATGCTCCAAAACCCATCTCTGAGGCACAGGCAGAGCAGAGTGGTAGCCTCAGAACAAGCATTTCTCCCAGTGACTAAGGGACATTGTCATTCCTTCTCCTGAGGTCTGTGCAGCAATGCAGCTCACACAAACATTTCCTCATTGTTTCCTCATGCTTTTTTTATGTTCTTTCATGGTCACATACCTTTTGCGTATACACTGGCCCCACCTTGGGGCCAGCGACTCTCCCCAGTGCTCTCTGCTACCCCATGGCAGCACTCAGCCTGGGCAGGGACTGGCAGAGCCACACCAGCCCAGTCCAGGAGTACACAGCCACCTGCCTCTCCCCCATACAGCCCTCCACCTCACCCTAAACCCCTGCCAACCCTCTGCCAGCACCTGGAGTGGGATGCCCAGCTGCAGGGCACGACAAGGGGAGGCATGATGCTTATGCCATGGTGTGAGCAGCTCAGGACAGGCTGATGGGAGCTGGCAGGAATAAAGGGCATGTGGAGGTGTGTCCCCCTGCAGAGCTGTGCCCTGGGAGAGCAGAGGGAGTGGGGCAGGGCTCTGCCCTACCCATCAGCCTCAAGGTAATCTCCTCCAGTAAGCACATGGCATGGTGGCTAGTTCCAGAGGCTTCCTCCCTGCCTTGGAGGTGGCCAAGGCAGGGAGGTGTTTCTTCTGCCTGCACCTTGAGGTGGCAACAAAACACCTGCCCTGCTACTGCAAGGCAGGTCCTGCTGACCTCCCTTCCCCTCCTAACTCCAAAGATGAGCTGTGGTCTCTGAGCATCTGCCCAAGACGACTGATCTCTGCAGTGGTGCCCAGGGACCTTCTTTTGGGCTCACCTTGACCGTGGGTGACAATGTGACATCTTCAACCTTCACCAGGATGAGCACCAGGGCGATCATGGGGAGTGCCACCAGCACCCCAATGGTGGCACCGGTGAGGAGCTTCCTGTTAGCCAGCATTGGGGTGAAGGCTCCTGTGAACCCAAGCATGGGAGAAAGGTGTTTGGACACCTGGGAACGACACTGTCGGCAAAAGCTGCAAGGAGATCTGCTTTGACAGCTGACACTGCCTCAAGCTGTGCCACTCAGAAATCCTGGTGGATAACCAGCTCTTTTCCAGGGAAAAGCAATATTAGAATGAAATAGAGGGAGCTGGAGGAAAGAGGGATTAGTTGCCTAGCAGCCTGGCACAGCTGTGATGGGATCATGACAATCCTCCAGGTCCTGCACTACCACCCGAAAGGATCCGGACTGGGAGGAGCGAGAGAAACGCTGGGAGGAAGGGAGGAGAGCAGGGGAAAGCACAGAAAGCCTCAAGGGGGGACAGCACAGAAGGGCAGGGTGGTCGTATTTCCCAGGCTGTGGGTCAGGTGAGCTCACCTGCAGTGCCCAGACCTGTGCCCGCCGGGATCCCTCGGGGCTGGCTGAGGGTCCTGTGCTCCTCCTCGGCAGCAAACCCAGCTCCACTTGCCTTTTACATCCTTTGGAAGTGGATACTGATGGAAAAACTTTTCCCCGTTATTTTCTCTTGGAGCTTGAGAGAAAGCACTTTGCCTTAGGAAAACTCTTGAATGCCTGGTCTCTTGTTTGTCTTATAGGTGTATTCATGGCCCAGCTTGGCATCTTCCTTATCTTCAGCCAATTAGTTCCTCCTCCTCCTCATTTGAATGGCATCACATGAAGGACACATCTTTTAACCCTTGTCCCTCTGTTTCTTTTGATTCAAAGGAATTGACTCACAGCTGGACTGTAAGCCAAAACATTTTTACCCTATAAACTGCATCTCCACCCAAAACTTTGGTCAACCTATATAGCAATTTTATCAAACCTTCCAACACTCCATACATTTTGGTTCATACCTGATAAGTTAGCAGTTAGCTTACATCACTTTAAAGCTCTACTTTGGCTATTGTAGGAAGTTTTTATGGCTTCCAGGATAGTAAGGTCTATGAGTTTAAAAGCAGCTAGTTTGGTACATATCATACCCTTGCAGGAGGGTGGGTCCCTCTTTGCAGTTAGCTAGGCTAGGACAGTCTGCTAAAAAATAAGAACTTACAATATTTGTTAAGTCATACTTAGGCTAAGAGAGGTCCTATTTATGCCAACAGGAGCCTAGGCATAGTTGAACTGGGCTACCCCAACTCACTCTGTGCCATCACACCCCCCCAAACCTCTACTTCTGTTCTCTCTTTGCTCTCACCAGCCTTAACCTTCCCACTGTGAGTCTCTGTGAGGTCTACAAGAGGTGAGAGTGATATTTCCAATATCCAGTGCCCTGGAATCTCATGCAGAGTGATAGGTGCCAAGTTTTATTACCATGAGGTGGAAAGTCACATCAGAGGGGGAGGATGGCCCTGCCAAGGAGCTATGTCACTAGGGGGTCTCAGCAACTTCTCTGAGCCTCTACACTGTCTCAGCAATGCTGGCTGGGCTTGGCCAGGGGACACAGGAGAGGGCAAGAAGGCCAAGACACCATCATGGGCCAGCTGGGACTATGGTCACCCCTTCCCTGTGTGTGACCCAGCTTTGTGCTGCTCCAGGGCTGAGGGTCCCTGCAGACCTCAAGGAGAGCTGAGGGAGGGGGAAGAACTCAGGTCATCGCCCCCCCCAGCTCTGACAGCAGCCTCCCATGGCTCCAGGCAGGTTGGAGGCTCAGCAGGGCAGGCAGGGCATCCCACGGGCAGGGCATCCCATGGGCAGAGTATCCTACGGGCAGAGTATCCCACAGGCAGAGTATCCCACAGGCAGGGTTTTCCACACCAGCACAGAGCCCAGGTCCTGCCCTGGGAGCAGAAGGGCTGGGGGACACAGATCTGCTCTGTCTGG